TACAAATATCTAATAGCTTGACATAAGCATAAAACAATGCTGAAGCAAAATGCCAGCTAGATTCATAAATCATGCTAAATTCCGATCTTACATATGTCAGTTCGGAAGTGACATAAATTCGGAATTGACATACAACAATGATATAATTGTCAATAACGAACTTATCAAAATTTCATGTCAAATAAAGCTCGAAATTGACGAATTCTTAAATCCAAAAGATGTCACTACAAAATTTCGAATTGATGTTGAAAGAGAAGATGGTTATAAATGGAAGTAAGTATTAGTAGGCAAATATGATTTATATATTTCTGTCAATAAAATGTTAATATTATATTTATTTTAAGCTTTTGGAAAAAAAATAAATCCACAAAAGAAAGAAACAAAATGTCTACAGTTTATTATCTTTGCTCACAGTGTGAATGTCTGGCAGACTACAAACAGTCCAATCGAAAACGAATTATGCACTTTAAATGTGAAGGCCGATTACAAATATGCATGGACCAGAAAACTCACATAGCATTCCTGAAAACATCTGCATGGAGATATGGCAAAATATATATTTAGAACCATTACAACTTTGAAAATATCTTACCAAAAAATTTGACTTATCAGATATTACACCCAAGCAGATTTACTATTGTTGGAGTTCAAGCACTCAGTCAGCTTATAAATTCGACAATGATCCAGTAAAATCAGCAATCTATCTTCTAAAAAACGTGTATCAAAGCCAAAATTGTGAACTTATTATGGAAAAAAATACCTCAGATATTGTTGCCATTGCTTTCTCAACACCGATTCTAAAGTATGCCCAACAGATTGAAGAAGCCCATGTGGATGCAACTTACAAAACAGCTAAAGGTCACTTCGAATTATATGGCATTGTTGGAGAAATCATGGAAGTGGATTTCCTCTTGCGTACTGTTTAGTGGATATGAGTAAACATTTGGGTAATAATGAGTCCATTCGGACACAATTACTCATAGAATTCTTCCAGGCACTTAGAAATCGAAGCCTAATACCAAAGTTTATTTTTACTGATAAAGACTTTGCTGAAATCAATGCTGCACAATTAGTGTGGAGAAACTCACAAACACGGCTGTGTTTATGGCACATAAAAAGAGCTATTCTAACTCGGTTACGAAGCAAAAAGGAACAGCAAAGGTTTGCATATATTAAAGAAAGTGACCTTAAACGATTCCCTTTTATCGATCCAACATTTCGACCAATACCTGAAAGCACATCATTATTTTGTCCCGTATCCTTACACAAGTCAGTTGTAACTCTGATAGAAAGACATTTTAATCTGCATCCATTGATACCAATTGACGTGAGTGGTGGTTCTTTGACACCTGATCAAATTCACTACAATTCAACAAAAGAAGTCTATGATTTTTGCAGATTAAATGATCTTTCAGCATTATGGCTTTACCTATTTTCATGTTGGTATTCTGAAGGTAAGTATTCTCTCTGGGCTTGCTCATGTCACCCACAAATACCTTTCAGCAAAACGATGATGATGATTGAAGCACATTGGAAAGTTCTAAAACATGATTACCTGTATTGCTTCAATCGACTGCGTTTGGATTATGTAATCTATATCATATGCAAACATCTTCTTCTGCAGCAGGAGAATCAGCTTCTACAATTACTAAACAGCTGTCAATACCCACATTGGTGGGAAGAATTTAAAAGGGAATGGAAAAAGGCAGGACAAAGACACTTTTCTACTAACTCTGGGGAAAACTATTATACATCAGATGCTTTATGGGTATGTAGTTGTCCCAATTTTCTGCAAAGCCGATTTCTGCTGTGTAAACATTTGGTAATTGCTGCTGGCAGGTGTTCCAAACAGTTAATCTACAATGAAATCAGAAGAGGCAGGGAACGTCCATTTATTAGTTTCGTAAAAGACAATCATAGAGAATCAGAACAAGAGACTAATGAAAATAGTATGGATATGTTTCACTTAGAGCAAGTAACCAATGAAAATGATATAGATTCGGTTCACTTGCAAGAACTCATTGACAATGCCACAGTTTCCAAATCTCCCAAGATCGATGTTGAGCAGCTACAGCATGAGATCCAAATGCAAAAAGAATTTTTAGATCATTTAACAGCAGAATTTGAGCAGAAAAATTATCAGCATGTCCAAGCACTACTAAATAATACAATGATATTATGGGTGACATCCAGGAAGCAAGAGAAAAACATAAGCGAGCTAGAACATGGAAAGACTCTAAACCATGGACAATGTTTTTAAAATAAATAAAAGAATGAGAATAAGATTACTGTATATTATTGTGAATAATCACACCCACCCCCATGATTACCATGATTACCTGCACAATGTACCCCTCATTAACAATTTATTACATAATAATAATACACATGATTATAAACCTTTTATTTCAATTCTATAATACAATACGATTCTGGTTACTGTGATTACTATAAACTAACCCCCTAAGTTTGTTATTTATGTGACGGTTTTGCTGATCATTTTTATATGATCAAGGGGGTGTGCTTATTCACGATAATATATGGTAGCTGCATAGTGTGAGAGGCTATGTAGTTTTTCAACTCATCACATGACTTGCAGTTACATAATAATAAAGAAAATTGTCTGTATTCTGCTTCCAAAAATAGTAGCGAGGGGTCGACAATTCCGCAAGGCAATTTCTGGAAATGATCTACGGATCAACAGCGGAATTTTGGGGGTTGCTGTGTGAGTTGATCTGATTATTCTAGATTAATCTTTTGATTTGTTCCATGATATACTATACTATGAGATAGTGCAAAAGCTCCAACACTACCATTAAGCTTATCTGCCTAAAATGATTGCACTACTACTATGGTGCAATTAGGAAAAATGCCACTACTACTACTATTATCTTTACAGCAAAATATGTAAACTCCATCAAAACTGAGTCTGTAATGACACTACTAATAACAATCTGCTCGATTTTTCAAAAACGCGAAATCAATCTTTGTCACTAACATTACTAATCAGCAACCAAGAATCTTATGCTTATAAAATTTACATGTATGTTAAGTATAACTGTTGTTGATGTGTGCAAAAAATTGACATGGAATATTAAGTACAATTTTGAGTTTGGATATAACTACACTTACTTAGCAAAAGTATTGGCAATTTTGTCAATCATCACACAAAATGAAAAAAAAATACAATCACTTTTGAAACTAATTTATGCAATAACTGACTATGAATATTTTATGTCATTTTATTCAGCAGAATCTGCTCTGTCTGATAAACTAATTAGTATGGTGTGGGGTTTCCTCTAGCATCTATAACAGCTTGTATGCGACGAGGCATGCTATCAACTAGATTTGCTAGTGTTTCTCCTTCAAGGCTGCACCACTCCTCTGCCAGTACCACAAACAGTTCATCCAAATTTTTAGGCAAGTTTTCACCCTTCTTTTAAGTTCATCCCATAAATGCTCTATCGGGTTGTATAATTTCACTCCATTCGTATGACCAGGCTTTGCCTAAGTTTGCAAAGAGGAGACGTTTCTTTCTGTTGCGTTCTGTAACTAAAGGCTGGACGTTTGTCGATCATAATCGTTGAATTCGTACATAATAATCGATAATGATTTTTTACAGCATGTAAACAAATGTTAAAGTCATCACCAGTTAACATTTCAAGATAAATCGTAACATTCTAATTCGTAGTTGTAGAATAGAGCAAGTCAAAAATCTGTAAGCAATGTATACGTCGATTATGGTCGTCAACGTTTGTAATTGAAATTACTAGAATTCGTACTGTTACGGTCGGAAAATAAAATTGGGTTTTTGGGAGGACGATTTATCTTTTGTGTAGGTGTGTTCGCCGACCGGGGGATATGCTTAGCTCGTACTATCGCCCTTACTACGATAGTTGTGCAATTAAGACTGAATTAAGCCTCAAGTGACCTATTTT